ACAGCACCACGGGGGCTCCCTCAGGAACCCTAAAAGATGACCATTATCGGTCCCTTTTACCAATGAGGGAAATTCATGCCTAAAATTGTTACGATGTTGGCCAAAAGCCATTTCGTGATAAAACCAGTAAGTTTTGGAGTTAGAATTTTTAACAGAGATTTGTCTAACACTAAAGTCCATGGTAGGACATTGTGTCTCTGACAGCTGATACTTCTGATACCATGTTGTAAGTGTTTTGTACCACAATCTCTTGATCTTCACAATAATCCTACCCCAAATTTTGCTCCATTCTTTTTTTTCTGTTCTTCAGTGGTATTGTTCACTACACTATTTTCAAGCTTGTCACCCACTGCAAAGTTCTCTTGCTACATTGTCAAGGTGTTAGTGCTGATGAGTGTATGTGGGTCATAAGAGACCTTTGAATAAAATAGTTCCAGAAGACTTCTAGGACTTTAGGCATGTTAACTGGTTAACTTCTTTGCTTCTCAGATTCCTCATGTATCCAATGAATTGGTTGATCCTGGCTCTATAATTTTCCAGAATTCTATGACAAATACAGGACCTCTGTGGAAGTGGGGCACAGGACAGATACGCTTTTTATCATGAGCGTAAAAATGAGTTTGTCATCAAAGCATAGGAACTGTGCAGGTTAAGGGTCTATGAGGGCCAGGAAAGAAGAGCAAGGGTGGGGCTGGAGGCGGGAGTGGGTGGGAGAGAGTGTCCTTAAACTGTCCCTGATTGAGCTGAGAGATTGGAATGCCATTGTGAAGGAAGTGAGGCAGGGCAGGGCAGGAACGAGCTCCGGGTATGCTGACCCCCAGGGCAGAGCTGGTTTACGGGATATGGAAATTGCCTGAAGTGACCGGAAGCTCTCTCCCTTCTAAACCTTTTGGGATTTCTAGTTTATGGAAGTTGATCCTGTCCCTCTTCTGCTTGGTACCATCCACTGGACCCCAGGTTCCTATGACTGCACCCAAGACGGCTCTTTACTGGATGACATCACAATCTGGCACCAGCTTTGTCACCTTCACCTTTTACACCCCAACCTCTTGCTGTTTCTGAACGTCTGTGCCACATCCTGTAGGAATCCCGTCTCCCGTTTCGGGAGAGTTCACCACCTCGTGTTGAGCTGCCCTTAGTTGTGTGTCTTTCTTCCTCCACAGACTGAGAACCAGGCCCAGTCACAGGTGTCTCCCTGGCCTGTCAGCCAGGACCAGAGCGTGAGTGGAATACAAGGAACGAGGTGGGACTACAGGATATCCACCTGTCGTTTAACGCTGAGTTCTGCCTTCCCCCTTCATTTCAGTGAGCCTTTAATTGAGGGCCCACCAGGTACCTGGTGAGGGTTGGGGCTCTACTTCAATACTAAAAGTGTTTGTGATGGAAACAGAGACAACCAGGACCTGGAGCCCATGACCTGGATGGTGTGAGGAAAGCAGAGGAGGGAGGTGAGCGGACAGAGCAGTGGGGTTGCCACAGCCTAGAGAAGTCTCTTAGGACACAGGGTTGAGATTGGTTGTTGCTGTTGCTTTTTTAGGTGTCCCTCACCTTGACTCCCCAGTAGGTATTCCTGAAGACTCTGGTGGCACTGCCGGGTAAGCATTAGATTGCAAACTTCGAGGTCAAGGGTTCAAACCCAGAAGCCACTCTGTACATAAGAGTCAAGGCTGTCTGCTCCTGTAAAGATTTACAGCCTCACAGGGTCGTGATGAGCTGGAATGAACTCAATGGCAGTGGGTGTTTTGGAAGTATCCGGGGGCCCATTCCCAGCAGCCCCCACCCTAGACCATTTTCTCAGCATGATACAATTGGTAGCAGAGGCCAAGCACGTTAGGGTCTGACCCCAGAAAGGACTCTCCTTCGGGACCCTTGAGGCTTGAGGCTTGAGCCGAGGAAATGGCATTGTGATTCAGTAGTGAGTCTCATTTTCTCCTCTCCCTAGTAGAGTGGATGTGGTTGTCCCCAAGCCGATGCTTGGGCGTCGGTCACCACAGAGAGCGACCTGTCTCTCTTGAGCCCTCCTGGAAGAGTCTGCCTGCCACTTCTCATCTCAACTTGGAAAGGCAGCCAGAAAGTCAGCTCAGGCCCCTTTTTGTTGGGAGCGTGAGCTACAGTGTGCACAGTCACGGCTTCCTCCGGGCGTGTCCTCCGGGTGCAGACAAGGGGGCCAGGCTGCTATGAGGGGAGGTGCTGGGGGCAGGGCCCTGGTGGGAGCCTGGAGACTCATTTTGACTCTTGCCCAAAGTCACTTTTCTTCCTATTTTTATGAACACAAATCCCTAAGTGTGTTTGTGTCCAAAGAAAGTACTAGGGATAACTGATGATCCATTTGTTGATTAACTTGTGAATCATCCTGGGGGAGAGGAGAGCAGGGCCTTTGGAGGCTGTATATAATGTGTCGTAAAATATTTAGCAGATGATCATCCAAGCCACAGGGAAACCGCTGGCGAGATGGGAATGTGAATGTTGCCAGTATTTAAAAGCTATTTAATGCCGAACACCAGTGCCAAGGAAAGGGGAGAGCGGCTCCTTTCCTCCCTCCCTTGGCAACCACAGCCCCCATAATGCGCAGAGCGCAGGCGGGAGCTGAAAGACTTTTTGTTTGAGTCTTGTAAACAGGCCATCTCTTCTGAGGTGGAATCCTTACCTTGTCTACAGCTTGCACTCTCCTTCGAGAGCTCCCTGCTGATCACCGCTCCATAGGGAACAGTAGTGGAAACTGTGTGCAAACAGTAGTGTTTCAGAACACCCTGATGTTTGGCACCCAGGAAGAAAAGAAGAACCAGATGTTTGGGTTCACTTCTTTCCTTCCCAGTGTCTTTCTGTCTGTAGCTCATAGCTCCAGGCTTCAGTCCTCAAATGACTTCCTGGGCTGTATCCGGCACCCTAACGCGTTGACTCAGAAGTTGTCACTCCTACACTGTTAGGGTGCCTAGGGCTGGGGTTGGGACCCACTTCGGTTACACATCTCTAGGAGATCAGTTTATTTTGAGGTAGAGGATGAGAGGCTCTTTTCTGATATTTTGGCCTGCGTGCCTCAAGTATAAAGTCCTATCCTTCTGAGAATAAACACCAGAAGGAAAGGTAAACAAAGAAGGAAGTGGCAGGAAACCCATTTAGGCATCAGAACTACTCCGCCTGGAGAACAGAGAACTTCAGACTGGTTGTAAGGCCTTCTGCAAGGATTATTCATGATGAGGTCGTGGGTAGCCAATGCTGGAGAAGCTGGTGGCGTCAGTCCAGCAATCTATTCGTTGTGCCAGGAAGGCCCCTGCCTGTAGGGGATTTGGATTCTCTTTACTGGGGAGGCATGTGTTACTTACAGGACACAGAAAATTCCCTTTTGAGTTTAGCAAAGTGAGAGGTCTCTGGTAGGGTGGTCTCAAGGAAACAGTTGCAAGTAAATCACTTGAGCAAAATGACACTCCAGAAACCACAAAGTGGCTCTTCGCTCTTGTTAGGTTTCTCTGCTATTGTCTGTGCTAATTCACTTCTCCAGGTTGTCTTCCATCTCGGCCAAATCCGACACATCCTTTGAGACCCACTTCAAACACTATCTACTCTACGATTCATTTGTCTTTTAAAAAGATACCACATTTAATTTTTTATTTTAGCATCACTCAGCATATTTAAATACAGTATTCAAAAAAATCAACGAGAGCTTAAGAAAATTCTAGCCTCCTTACTACTGGTGGTGCTGACTTGTGAAGTCATTGGCATTATACCCATAATAAATGTGCATCTGGATCTTCAATTTTTTTTTAATTGTATTGTGGTGAAAATATGTGGAGATAAAACATGTGCCATACTAACCACTGAAAAAAAAATTAAGTGTACAATTCAGTGACATGAATTACTGTCACCATATTGTATAACTATCACCACTATCTACTCCCAAAAGGTTTCTATCAGCCCCGTATGGATTAAGCTGTGCCCGTCCTCCAAGTTATGTGTTGGGATTCTAACGGTTATACCTGGGTGGAAATAGGGATTTTCTTGCTATGTGAATGAGGTCATACTAATGTAGGGTATGTCCCAGCCCTGATGACTTCGTAGTCATGGCAAGAGTACATCAGACAGAGACACACTGGGGGAGACAGATGCCCCCGATGCTTGCCAAGAACTGAAGACCCTCTGGGCGGCCACCCCACATGGAAGGCATTGCCATGGCCAAGAGCTCCATTTGGACTTTGAGCCTTCAAAGCCGTGAGAAAAGAAATTCCGGTACCTGTGTTATTTGTGTGACGGCAGCGCTATGCAATCATCTCGAACGAAAACTCAGTCCTCATGAGCAATCACTTCCAATTCCCCCAGTCTCCGGTAACCATTTGTAAACCTTTCCGCACATTCATTCTTGACTCGCCCAATCTTCATTCATCTCAATATCCTTAGAAATCTTAGCCCCTTTAAGAGTCTGAAACACTCCCGTGGCACCTAATTGCTATTGTGTCTGTGACCAACTTGAAGCAGATGAATCCTTTCTCCTCAAGTTTGCATTCCCTTTGGCAAGTGCCAGCTCCTGACACACGTGTGCCACACACAGCTCCCAGAGCAGTGTTCAGTGAACACTTGCCATCAGGACGTTGGACTTGGGCTTTTATCTCAAGAGTAAACCACATGTTGTGTAGGCTACAGATGGTGAGCGGCAGCTTAGTTGGGATGGTGGACCAAGTCTGAATTCTTGATGGGTGTGGGCATCTGACCCAAATGAGCACCTCCAGGTTGTAGGACACTAGTGTTCTGAGTAGCTTGAGGTCCTGATGATTTCTTTCCCTTCAGAGTTGCGACTGTTAAGGTGGATGTAAACACCAACCAACCCAACCCAACCCAACCCAACCCAACCCAACCCAACCCAACAGTGACTGTGGTGGTAACTGACTCCTGGCAAGCTCGAAAGCAGGGTTCAGAGAAGGTGTAAATTGAGTGAAACATTATTTTGCCAAGTCTGAAAAGTTACTAGCAGTACCAGTCATATTTTAATGAAAAGTGTCAGAAAGAAGGAAGGAAGGAAGAATGAACGGGAGGGAAGAGACTGAGAAGAAAAAAATCACCCCCCCTCAAGAAAAAGCCCCAGGGGGGTGAGTGGGGAACACACCTGACTCAGACGTCCAATACCACAATTTCATAATACAGTAATTTTTAATATTAAAAAGTAAATTGTAAATGCATCTTTATAAACAATATGCTTAAAATAGATCTATTATTCGAAACCCTTTTCTTTTTAAAAATGCTCTTCACAGTAAATTTCTTAGGTGTCAGATTTTCCCTCAAAACAATAGTGCAATTTGGTCAGTGACTCAGGACCTGTTTGCTAATACAAGTCCTTGTAGATCTCTTGGAGGAGCGGGTGAAGACTCATGTCTGTCTCTGTTTTCTTTATGACCTGCAGGAGCTGCACGTGCTCCGTGACGATCTGTCTGAGGTCTGTCATCTTCTGGAGCAGCTTGGCAAACAGCTGCGAGGCCTCGGGGTGGTTCAGCTTGAGCTGGAGCTCCAAGGCTTGCAGCAAGTTGTCCTGGATATCCTCGATGGGCTTCACATTCAGCAAGCCGGGGCGGTCTAGGGAGCAGAAGGGAGAAACGGACCGGGAGTCAGCACAGTTTCCTGGCCCCGCCGCCGCCGATGCCTACACAAGCGGAGGAGCAGGTGCCAATCCATCCACCTGCTTTCTGTTGGGCTTTGTTTTTAAACTAGGGTGAGGACGATACAAGAAGATGGAAGGAAAATGAACAATCTCAGAGCCCTTTCCAGGCCCTTTCTTCTCCGAGTCAAGATGAAATCTGCTGGGGCCGTGAACATAGCATGGGGCTCAGACAACCTGGTTCCCAGATGGAGACCACATGTGTGGAAACCCCAGTGGCCACAAACGGATTCTGACTCCGAGTGCCCCGGATGTGTCAGAGTGAACCACTGTGCCACACCATTTTCAGTGTGTCTCTCACTCAGCCAGAGTCTCATTTTCAATGACTGCTCCTCCCTGACGAACCTCTCTCTTTTGAGACTCATACCTACTTTTCTGGGGTCCCCGGGGATGGCTGCTATGGTTGATGTTCGTGAACAGGGAGCACACTCGGCTGTTAACCAAAAGGCCTGGCGTTTCACTTCTCAAAAAGCAGCCACAGATAACCCCATGGAGCGCAGTTCTGCGCTGGCCCACGTGGGCCACGTGAGTGAGAGTGGACTTCACAGCAGCTGGTTACGTCAGAGGGGCCTCTTTTCTGACAAAAGCGCTATGTAGGCTTACACACAGTAACTGCAAAAACCTCTGTCTTCTTTTTGTTCGCTATATCATACCCACTCTCAAAGCGACAGAATGAACACTTTTTAAGTACGGTCCCAGTTTGGAAGGCTACTCCCCACTTTTTTTTTTGTAATCCAAGTGAGACTTTATGAAGGACAATATTCCCCACTCTTTTAACAATGCCGAGTCTGCAGGTAATTTTCACTTCTTTAGATCTTCCTTATTTTAATTTTTAAGTGGTGAGTTTAAATTAATTTTAACGTTTAGTGTTTTTCTTCCTGAAGATCTTATTAGATTTATCCTTAAGTACTGCATAGTCTCTACTGTGAGTGAGTTTATCTTTCTCATTCCATATAAAATATATCCCTGCTGGCATTTAGGAAAATTATTGATTTTAGCATATTGAATGTATTCTAATTTTCAGAACTGTTGTCAATTCAAATAGTTTTTTTTAAGTTTCACAGGTAGTTACATCTACAAATAGTAGCAAGTTTCTTTCTTCTTTTCCTATGCTTATATTTCTCATTTTATTTTTTCTTGTCATATAACACTGGCTAATGCTGGTACAATGGTGTTGGATAAAACTGGTGATAGACTTTCTTCAGTTGGTCCCTAGCCTCCCCAGTCTCAGTTCCTGTAACACATCCCTTTACTCCAGCCCTATCAAGCCATTTTCATACCATGCTTCTCAATCCTCTCAGGTTCTTTGACGACCCTGGCCCCTGGAGAGTCTTTTCCTCCACTTTGAAATATTTTTCCCCTTCCCTTCCTCTAGCTTATTCACTTCAACTGAGCCCCCAAAGTATAGCCTGTATCAAAGATCCCGGACACCTTCTCTGATGGGGTCCTTTCCTGCCTTCTTCCAACTCCCTTTCTTTGGGCTTTGCTAGCACCCGAGTTAGGACGGAATCCAAACGACACTGGCAAATTGCACTCACAGAGTGCTGGCATTTCCCAGAGATGGTGTGGAGGGCTGCCATACACAAGCTGTCATTCAGTCCTCACAAGATCCATTGGGGGAGGGGGGAGTATTTTATAGAGGAGAAAATGAAGACTTCTAACTTTCGTCCAAGATCTGCCACTTGTAATAACATTTGAACTTAAGTCTGTCTGACTCCAAATTCTACACTCTTCCCCCCTGATTTCCTCTCTTATAAATACTGAGTTTCTTGTTTCTCTCCCTATTAAACCATGAGGTATCAGAGGGCAGAGACCTCTGCCTCTGACCTTCAGGAGCTGCACAGGCCGCAGTCGGCTGAGCTCATGAGTAAGAAGGTGCCTCTGGTGGCCAGCCTGGGATTGGAAGGTTGATTCTCCGGGAAGATGAAGACAAACCTCAGGGCAGAATCCCTGCACCATGAAGATGTGCCTGTGAGCAGCGATCCCTTGTATCTAATAAACCCGAGTGACCTTGATCCACTGAGGCGAGAGCCCCGAGGGCAAATGTGCCAGTGCAGAGGTCTCCGAGTGGGGTTTGCAGAACTCTAAACATGGCCCCAAGTGAAGCCGCTTCTCTTGCTTTTTGTTTCATTACAGAAGTTGGCTTGCCTTGGCTTGCCGGGTTTGTCCTCCGGCTTCTCTGATCTATCCTACATTGGCTAAAGTACATCTAGATGAGGGAGCTTTAAAAAGCTCCTGGAAAAATGGAATGAAAAGATAGTGGGATTTTTTTCTGTGAACTTTCTGAAGCCCCCTCGTAGCTATTTTTTTTTTCATTTCAGTAATTTGGGAGCGATTGGCAACGATCTCAGATGCTGAGAAGGAGACCAATGATGGCGTCCTGGCTTGGAGAATAGCGGCCCTGGAAGAGCCGGGCTTTGCTCACAGTTGCTGTAGGGTCTCATGCGAGCCACTCACACTTTCAGGAAATCTAGATCGTGGATGGGTGCCTTTGATTGTGATGCTCTCCCTTAACAAACGAGACTTCAAAGGCCAGTGGCAGTACAAACACGGGCACCTTTACGTGCCAGGCAGGTGCTGACTATGGCTCCTCTTTGGCACCTTAGAAACAAGGCCTTTTCCCCTCCCGGTGAGGCAACATGAGGAGCGTGCACGGAGGTGGGGGTGGGGCGACCTTCTGCTGGAGAAGACCCCATTCATCTAGAACAGCGGTTTTCAACCTGTGGGTCGCGACCCCTTTGGGGGTCGAATGACCCTTTCACAGGGGCCACCCGATTCATAACAGTAGCAAAGTGACAGTGATGAGGTAGCAACCGAAAATCATTTTCTGGTTGGGGGGGTCACCACCACAGGAGGAACTGTGTGAAAGGGTCGCGGCAAGAGGAAGGTTGAGAACCACTGCTCTAGAAGCTTTCCTTTATCAAGGCAGCTCAAAAAGAGAAAAAAAAAAAAGTCCTAAGATGCAACGGCTCGGGTTTGCTGGAAACAGTTGGCTCCAGCGCCGTGTGATGGAAGCGGCCCCTCGAGGAGTGGAGAGGATCTGGTTTGGATTTGCAACCCCTTCTTTGGCAAGCTGCTCGTTATGATGTGACCGATGAAGTTTGGCTGGAGGGCTGAAATGTGTGGCCATTGATTACGCCTATTTTCTCCAGTGACAAGTTGGACTCTTTACAGATCTGGCCCATTGTCCCCCCGACTGAGCCCCAACCCAGACACAGGGCTGTGGTGCAGCAGAGGGAATGACTAGTCTTTCTACTTGCACGCCTCTTGCCAGCCAGCTCAGTGACCTGGGGCAAACTGATTGAGCTCAACAAGCCTCAGTTTCCTCTTCGGTGGATTCAAAGCGAGTGGCGTAGTGGGCGCTGTGTTGGGCGGCTAACTGCTAGAACAGCAGTTGGAAGCCATCAGCCTTCTTTTGGGAAAAAGAGGAAGCTTTTCATTTCCATATCAGAAACCCACAGGGGTAGTTCTACCCTTCCCTATAGGATCACCCTGGGTTGGAATCAACATGATGTCATTGAGTTTTTTTGAAACCTGGAAAGCATGGGACTAGAGGACTTTTGAAGACCCCCTTCAAAAGTGTTAAGATGCATTCTCTTTAGCAATTTCTTCTATTTAATTCATGTCATTAGTCTGGGGGGAAGAATCTCACCATCTAATTGGAAAAGTGTATGACCAGGCTCACAAATGAAACTTAGAAAGGATACCTCGAGCTTACGGAAAAAAAAGTTTCCATTGGTCTTATGAGTCCTTGGTTGGGACAGACTGTCAGTGAACTTGGCTGATAACCAAAAGCTTGGAGGTTGAGTTCACTCAGAAGAAAGGCCTGGAAATCTACTTCCAAACAAACAAACAAACAAAAACAGACAGACAGACAAACAACCTAGCCACCGAAAATCCATGGAGCACAGTTCTACTCTGACACATGTGAGTCCGAGTCAGCGCAGTGACAACAGGTTGCTGTGAAGACATTTGTCAGGGCTGCTCTCCATCTTTCTTCAATCCACTACAAGACCTCTTCCCTTCCTCTGACAACCAACTCCTCCTGAAGCTGAGCGAGGTCCCACACACCTGCCACAGCAATCTGCCTTTCCACACTCCCCCATTCTTCCTGCCCTGCACTCCGCACCAGGCTGCCCAGCCTGCGTCAGAGCAGGGCCTGCTGGGTCCCCTCCTGCACCTGGCAGAGTGAGCTCTGGTCCCGGCCCGCTCGCAGGCCCTTTTGGGAAAGTGCACGTTGACGCACACGGTCCAGGACAATACCATTCGAGGAACCTGGAGTCAATTACTAGTTCCTTACTCCCTGGGCTGTGGAGTTGGGAAAGAAACCTTTCCGGTCCCCATTCACACAGTCCTGGAACTCATTAGAAAATATTGTTGATTATGGCAAATCTACAAAGCTCCTCTCACATGCAGATCTGGTCCAGTTGATGGAGAACTAACAGGGGGCAGATTCAATTTTCTGGCCTCTTGGGGTCTGCCCACCTGGGCCAGGCATTTTCTTAGCACAGATTTTCCCAGGAGGTGTCAGCTGAGGGGACCAGCAAGCCACAGTGCAGTCTCCTGAAAGACAGGCAGGACACTGAAATAGGGGTAGCTTTGTCTCTACTCTAAGAGATGGGGGTGTGGTGTTCCCAGTCTTCCCCAATGGGCTACCTGATAAAGACTGATGGGAATCGAACAGTACAAGGGCACTGGGCAGGAAGCCTGAAGGTAGAGCAGCTGGAGAGATCCACGGACATGAAGACCCGAGTTCAGGTGGAAAGGAAAGGGGAGGGAGGGTTTCAAAGGGACCTCTGCCCTAGTAGTGCAGTGGGCTAAGGATTGGGCTGTTAGCTGCAAAGGTCAGTGGTTCCAACCCACCAGTGACTCTGTGGGAGAATGATAAGGCTGTGTGCTCCCGTAAAGATGTACAGTT